TTAACGTTTTACTAAGTATATCACTACTTGTCACATATTTAACGTTTTACTAAGTATATCACTACTTGTCACATATTTAACGTTTTACTAAGTATATCACTACTTGTTACACTATTTAACGTTTTACTAAGTACGTCACTACTTGTCACATATTTAACGTTTTACTAAGTATATCACTACTTGTCACATATTTAACGTTTTACTAGGTATGTCACTACTTGTCACGTTTTTAAAAATTATTTTTTGATGAAAGACCAGAATTGTAAAACTTTCAGTATTTTGTTGTAAAAGTTACTTTTGTTAATGAATTTAGATTTAATTTGTTCAGCCCAAATTACCAAAGGACTTGGTTTCAGAGTATTCAAATATTAAGGATATTATATTCACTCATTTAACAATTTCACGGGCACAAAATCTAAATTTATATATGAAGCCCAAATCATTTTGAAAGCTCTAGTACACTAAAGAACTGGAATGAACTGTGTTGTGAGGACTACAGAAATGTGATGTGTTGTACAGGTATGCAGATGGCTTGTTCAGTTCTTGCAAGGATGTTCAAGGATTAAGTCCTGGTCAGACAACCTTAGAGACCTTGTGTATGGGAGAGAAGTGTTCTTCTCAAGGACTGCTGGTTGCTCTTGGTAAATCTAAAGAAAATGGTGGAATGTCTCCAATGCAGATTAACTTCAAGTTGACAGATGATTCTTTTATTAAAGAACACGGACAACGTTTTGTTCCATTTGGTGATAATGCTAAACTGTAAGTAGTTAATAATTTTTAAAGTGTAGTTTCTACAAATGGTTGCACACATTTAGACATGTTCATGTTGGTTAAAAGCCTTAATTTTCAGCACTGGTAACGAATTGGTCATTACCAGTGAAAGTGGGTCTTCTCGGGGTACTCCCGTTTCCCCCCTACATTCAATTCTCGGCATAGGATTTTTAGATCCCCCTCCGCCCTGATGGACCATCAGTCCGATATTGGCCGTTTAGTTTAGTCTACTTTGCTCTTCACATTTTATTTTACCGTTACTCCCACATTTATCTTTTTTATATTCACATACCTTGCCTGTTTTCTCAAGTTAAGCCCATATTCCTAGGCCACGTGCGGGATGAAGGAGGATTGTTTAATCTTCGAGCACCCTGGCAGTTATTTAGATTTAAAAATAATTATTTCCGAAGAAATAATTACTAATCTAGAAATAACAACAACATGTAAGTTTCAGTATTTCCCATTATATCAGTTTTGTATTTAAACTTAAGCCCTGAATTCATCGATTTTGTTCCTAAAACTCCCAGCATTAGAATAATGGCAACTAATCTTATTCTTGAATCTACAGTAATTATCTTACATATCTTTTTCCAATCTCCATGTTATCCCAGCTGTTATATCAGTTTATTTATTCCCACTTTCCCTTGTGGCTGGGAAAGTTTAAAGTGTCTTTAAGTTTAATGATTCTTTTTAGAGCTTTCTATAACAGCTTACTATCTTATTTGCAGGGTTCTATATAAAGTATTTTACTTGTCACTAATAACCTAATTAATTAGACCACTATGACATACATGTAGAACTTTAGTGAAGAAAAGAAAAATTAATAATCGTACTACCTATCCTGCTTTAACAGAGCTCATCTCCAATAATAATATGCCTGGCATGGTCAGGCGGTTAATGCACTTGACTTGCAGTCTAAGGGTTGCGGGTTAGAATCCCTGTCCCACCAAACATGCTTCCCCTTTCAACCATAGGGACATTATAATGTGACAGTAAATCCCACTGTTTGTTGGTACAAAAGTAGCCCAGGAGTTGGCAGTGGGTGGTGATGACTAGCTGCCTTCCCTCTAGTCTTTAACTGCTAAATTAGGGATGGCTAGCACAGATATCCCCCATGTAGCTTTGTGCAAAATTCAAAACAAACAAACAGACACATAATTCACCATTGTTCTAAAAGCTATCCCACAATTCCAACCAGCCCACCTATTGCATTAAGTATATTGTTGCGTCATCGAGATCACATGACTACGGTGACGCCAAGTTTCTAGAACTATCCCGTATCTTGGTGAATGCTCTAGTATTTGCTAGATATAGGGTAGTTTGGTATATATAAGAGGGGACAACGTGACGCGAGATGAACGTAATGTGTGTGTAGACAGTGAGTAATTGAACTGCAGTCAGAAGTATTATTGACGTTCGTTGTTATAGCGTTTGTTTAGCGCAATTGTTGAAGTTGAGTGTATCGATAAAGTTATATTCGGAAAGAATAAACCAGTTTTATTAAGTAAAGACTTGTGTCGTTAAAGTTTCGTTGGAACGAAGTTACGGAAAGTTAATTAACAAACGGAGACGTAACAATATCCATGATATTACATGTTAGCCTTGGCTCCTGCTTAGTAATTCATTTCTGTATCTAATTGGAGTGTACACATAAAAGAATTTTACACATTTACTTCTCTAAACCTGTGTTAGAATTCATTGTACTTTTTAAGCAGCTTTTCCAATGCCAGTTGTTCCTACATGAACTACACTTTTCACTTATAAACATAGAAAATACGAATATTTGAATGTAAGAAATATCCTAGAAGTTGATATATTATTTTTCATTCCACATCTATTCAAAACATGTTTAGGCATAGTGTTCGTTTTGCCAGGAATTTGCGTACAAAGTACAGTAATAATATTCACATCAGTATACAGAACACTTAAATGAAGTTTAAAAATCATATATCATTTTGTGGGTTAAGGTTTCAAAATTATTAAAGGTTTACATATAGGCAGCTTGATTACTGTGTACAAAAACAGAATATGAATTCTAAACATGCATATAACAGTAAATATATCTATTTATGTGTATATATCTAGATAGATATAGTCCACTTGTTGTTTTTTTTTAAATATGATTGCATTACATGAAGTGTTTTGTTGTTATTCGTTGTAGTTTTATAAATTGTAAACTGAATATTTTATTTCTCCAGGAATATGGCAAATGCAGGTATGAGTAAACATGAAACCAAGTCAGAAATAGCCAAAACTAGTCGTCTTAGGAATACATTACACTTTCCAGTGTTCAGTAAGCTGCCTTGGGATAATACACCCAGTTTTGAGTACTATGCTTTAAAAAATTGTATTTTAACTCCAAATCGCCACTGGTGTTTTATTGGTGAAGTCCATGCTAAACCACTACTGTTACTTCGCCAAAGTGTTTGGGTAAGAGATTTGGAAGGAAATGATAACATCCATGTGGCCTTTTATCCTGAAACTGGAACCTTTGATTACTCTGATTTGAAGGTTGGAAACACATTATGTGTAAGGTATGCAGAAAGACACCATTTTTTAGATTTTACTGCAGGGTTAAGACTAGAGCAATTAGACTTTGTTATGGTCATTCCCACTTCCCTTAAAACATTACTAGAAATTTCAGATTTCAGCCCAGAAGCAAACAATACCTATTGTTGGATATGTGGAATTAGCAAGAGTGAAAAGAAGCTATTAAAATGTGGTAAGTGTAATGTGGCCAAGTACTGTAGTAAAGACTGTCAAATATCAGACTGGAAAAGACGACACAATGAGTGGTGTCAGGCAATCCCAGGATACAAGAAACTGGTGGATATTGATTCTGATGTGACAGAAAACAATTTTGATTACAAAGCCTTTCGTTGATATTTTTTATAAAATCATATCGTGCATAAACTATATATACATATTATTCATGTTCTAATTAATACTAAATTAGAAGTTTTTCTTTAGCTTTTGATTAATTACAGTTTTTTTTAAGTATTTTCATGTTGTAATAAATCTCATGGTCAACAGAAAAACTTACTGTATAAGGGCTGTTAAGAGTATAAATAAAGAATTAATAAACATTTCTTATCAATAATGATCTTGAGGATGTGTATGTTTGCTTTAGCGATATCAACTTTAAACAGATTATCTTATATAGAAATATTTAGTTGCATAAACCCTTTGCTTGGATATTTTGATGCTAGCAGAGTGCATAGCTTACATTTGAAATGTATAACAAATTCATCCACTATAGAAAACTGAAAGATATTTACATTTCAGAATATTAACATTCAAAACTAGTGTAAATTTCAAGTTTGAGAGCTTTTGAAAAAAAAAAAAATTCAAAGATCTAATATTTAAAAGGTACAGAAGCAAAGGTGAAAAACAAAACCGCATAACAAAAATATGGATTTGAACAAAATTTTATAGGCAGTGATAAGCTCTTCTAGGTTTTAAACAGTTATGTTTAAAATAAATTAAGACCAATTTATCAAAACTTAGATGTACAATCCCTCGTTATCCAAGAAATAAATCATCTACATCATAGGAGTTACATTCTTACAGAAGGAACACTTAAATATCGTAAAATTGCAATGCCAATTAAGACTGGTTAACTGGAGCAACAATACTGTACTCACACACAAAATCTGACCAATTCATGAGCACCAGCAGGTGCTGTAAACATTATCACATGAGGGAGTACAGTTGAAATAAAGGTACAGTAACCTGAAACTACCAATATGTACATATACTTAACTGTAAAGTTGTGGCAGTTGGTTATCAAACATTTTCACTGATTTAGTATTCTGTACTATCAAGTAGGTTTAATTACTACTTTTTTATAATCATTAAATAGTAATCATCTATTAATGTTTATCCTACATTATGTCTACTATCTTCACTGGATCCTGAAAACAAGTGTATGTGATGGATCTTCAAAAAAGTAGATATGTGTTCTCCACTAGTCTGGGCTCTCACCTTGCAGGGATTAGAATCAAACCATACAGTTTCAAAGGGATTCCCATGTTATCATGCGTGGTTCATGTCCTATTACATTTCCATTTTATTACATAATATTCTCTGATAAAATGATGGGCTTTTGCAGACAGGTTGTTGTTAACAAGTTTTTAATAACTGATGTGCTTCTGAATTTTAACTTTTGTTTCTAGTTTTAATACTCCAGCATTAGCATCCACTTGCACTTACTGCTTCAGATGTATTAATTACTCTAGTTTCACAAGTGTATTCCTACACTTCTACTCTGTTGATATTTGTAGTTTTATGACCAAAGAATAACAAGCCTTTGAAATTAATTGACACATAATACAAATGTAAGAATAGATATGACTGTCTGAATTGGATCATTAACCAATTTAAATCTGGCAACCGTAACTGTAAAATAAGACAGCATAAAATATGTATACAATTAAGTTAATAATTATTTTGTAACAGTGCTTCGTTTGTGCTAAATTAAATAATACATAACTCAATCATTCTACAGATTTATTACTAAAGGAAGATGAACTGAAAATGTACACTGAAAATTAAGAACATATCTACAAATAATGAAGTGCCTATGTAGTTACCTTTAATTTTTACATTATTTTATAGTGGAAGGATAGATCTTGGATGAACTGAGAACAAAACAAATATATATATATATATATATATTGCACTAATTTCAAATTTAATTATTATATAGACTTGAAGATTTAGTATCAATTTTACCTTTTCCAGCTCTCAGGAAACTAAACATATACAAAGTAGAATTGATAAAGGTGTCAGTTTTTAGTCGTCTGACATAAACCAAAATACTATTAAAGGTAAACTAACAAATAATGAAAAAACATAGTTAACAGTGCAAGTCTTAGGAAGGATCATGTTAAAATAATTGACTATTCGTACTGAGAGTAGTTTCATTTATCATTCAACAAGAACAAATACGCTGTTTTTGAAGTACAAGTACTATCAGTATAAGATTCTACATAACTTTCTACTAAATAATTACATCATCCAAAGAACAATTTGTATGCATTTAATTAGTCCTTAAAGGAAAAATTTAAATATTGGCATTTTCAGAAATGGCAACTTTTATTACCTTAAGATATCACAAGTTTTCACCTATACTCTTCAGTTTTTAAATCACCAATTTCTGCTTTCGTGCTACAGTATTACCAGTGAATATATTAATAAAATTGACCCTCGACTTTTCTTTAAGAGTGAGAATATTTTATTGCACAATTTATAGGGTTAACTAAGTAGAGGAATAAAAATGAGCATCATTTAAGGAAGCAAAACAAGCTATTTAATACCATTATGTGCTTGAGAGTTTTCTCAATAAAAACAAACTGACTTATAATTAAAACTTGTTGAATATGAAAAAATAATGTTACTGATCTGCTTTCATAATTTTACCAAACAGTTTTTTAACAAGCCATCACTGAGGACAATTTTAGGTTATTATTGATGGCTAATAATAAACCCTAAACCTTTTAGTTACATTGGTTACTTTTTAACAGATGGAAATATGAATAATCAAAAACTAATAGTGATTTTCCTATTGTATCATGTTTTTAAGATATACTATTTAACACTGATATCCTTCGAATTGCTATCATTTACTATCTTCTGCCTATGTAGTTTAAAAAAATGTAAAAGTAAAAAAAATAAGTAGAATATATGTGATAATTTAATCATTGTAAAAGACAACTTAGAATATTTAACTTCCAAGGATTTGTACATGAATTCCAAATTAGATCAAATCATTGAAACACGCCAATAAGGTAATAAAGTTTTTATGTTTTCTAATTCAATGTCAGGTGCTAAAAAGGTTGAGTAGAAAGTCAATTGCAATATGCCCAAAAGTATACAGTTATATCTACCAAATTTTATTTTAAGGAAATTAAAAATGTTATCTATATTTTATCAAAATTATTAATACTTGTGTAAAATAATTACTCAAATAAATAATAAAATTGCACTGTGAAACACAAGAGGTCAGAGAAGTACAGTTAACAGTTGTTATTCAACAATCATTTTTTTCAGTATTGATTTAATATCTTTCTAAACTTTGTAAATACTGATGATATAGCTAACTAAAAGTAACAGTTGTAGACTAACTTTGTTTCTAGTTTATTTTTAAAAATTATGTTAAAAAAAAAAAGATTTAAACCTGTACAATGTCTTGTTCTCAAACTTTCACTGCTTATATTAACCCTAAATAACAGAACTAGTATAGATATTTACAAAAGATTGTGGCCACTTGGAGAGGTGTTAAAATAATGTCAAATCCTTAGCCAACATTCTAATTGACTGAGCTGGCTAGCACAATGAGCATCACAATAAATAAAATTTTACTGATGCATCTTTGTAGTTTGAAAATCAGAAGAATCACAGTTTCTTCTCATGAAACTTTAATAATTAATATAATGAACTTTCTTCAAATAAAAGAAATTTTAAAAATCTGATCATTTATAAGTGGTTAAAATCTATACTTTCTTCATGTAATAACTATTAAAAAATATAAAGAAATTAATATCTTCTGAAGATATTTCAGGCAATCTCATAAATGGCAGTTGGTATGGTATAAGTAAAGTAGTGTATCAACATATGTATGAATTGTTTACTTTTTGTAGTCATTTTAATAGGCTATCTATTTAGTTTTATTTTAAAAATATCAATTAACTTCTCGGTTTTATCGATTTGGATCACTGGTGCATTAGCTCTTATTACCACATCAACTTGTGTTTCTCAAAGTAAGTGCTAAAAGCAGGTGTTATGTTAGGACACAATAAACACATTAACTTTCCACAGTGCATCATCTGACAGTGCACATAAATTACATTTTGTCTTCTCAAACAATATCATGAAAAGTTGACAATGTTAGGATTATCATCCATCATGGGAGGGACCATGTCTTCCTCCTGTTAACAGAACCAAGAAATATTTATCAATACAAAATGTGATAAAATATAACAATTTAAAAGGTAAGTTAAAAATGTTTTAATTTTAAGTTGCCTTACTATCAAAAATATGAGAAGCAACATGATTAATTGAAGTGGTGAATTACATAGTTCATTAATTTGCATCTTGTACAGTTCTATAAAACACCTCTTGACTAATTGTACTGCATGCTGTGACACCTTGAAAAAGACCACATACAAATCTGCTTCAAAGTAAAGGTATTTAAAGATAAGAAATTTTAAATACGAAAGTTTTAACACAAGGTAGACAAGAAACATGGCAAAATTAGTTTGAAATTATTAACTAGCTGAAGCAAAATCAATGCCTCGTTGGTAGTTAATACAGAATTTATAAAAAATATCAGGTTGAATTTTCTATGAAAGTTCACAAAGCACATGCAATAGAACTGATGAATACTGTGATTGCCTTGCTTATATTGTACTTTTGCATAAAACTAAAATTTTCATGTCATTTTGTATTTCACACATACCAAAATATTAGTAAACATCACACCTCAGGTGTAATCAATGCAAAGTCAAATTTCAAAATATTCAATTTTGTTTCTCAATCATAATAAGTATAAAAAGAAAATGTTTAGAGAAAAGCAACTTATCACAAATTTTTAACAATATACAAAGCTTTGATATTATTATATATTGTATATTTCAAACACATCTGTAATGAATATTTGAGAGTTATTAACCCTTTGTATATGGGTTCAGTCCATTTGACTGACCATGTAATAATCATGTAACAGTGAAACTATACGTCACTCTGAGTTTACCTTCACACGATTGGGTTAGCTTTTAATAGATGTTACAAGTCTGTTGTATACAGTAAATCATATATATAAATAAAGTAGTTTTACTAAAGATTTGTATGTGACTTTACAAACACTTTACTGAGTTAGTCTGAGTGACTTCTTTTCATATTTCATTTGCATAACCACTAGAACCTCATAAATGAATATCAAGTTTCTTTTCAGTAAAACTTTATATTTCTTTACTAACCATAGTAAAATAATCAGAGAAGATAAAAGTATGAAATATAATCAGTGCCCTTTTTTTTTCTAAAATGACTGCAGATTGTAACAGAAACTTATAATTATTTATCCTAACAGTTTTAGCCTTTAACATCTCACATTTGCTTTCTTTTAGTTTTAACACTTTAGCCCCTCCTTCAGTATGCAAAAAGCAATGAATCACAGTTGGAGAGCCTAGTGTCGCCAAAATATCAGGTTTTAATCACACGACTCACATAGCATAAGCTGTTCTTGTAAAAAAAAAATTAAATATTTTTCATTTAAGTTTTGTTACCTAATGTAACAAATTTCTAACCTTTACATTTTAGTTACTTTTGTTGTGGGGGG